ATTTCGAGGCTAACTGGCTAACTGCTTTTGATCAACCCTGTAACGGCTTGTCTCTATCCCTTGACAGCTTCTTACGGACAGAGTTATTCCTGAAACCAAAACAGAAGTTGCGGGAAAGGTTCAGCAGGTCTGTCAGCATGTGTGGAGACAGGAATCAGAGTTAATGTTTCGGCTCCAGTGACCTTACTGCAGCACCGATGGTAGCGGGGAGAAAGCTGGTTTTTATGAAGAAGATAAGGTTAGGGCAGGGGTTGGGGAAGGGTAAATGACAGGTGGAGATAGAGACCAAAAAGAGAGAAAAACACTTGGACAGACAAAGGGGTGATTAAAGGTCAGACTGGGACAATGAATACAATCCCCACAGAGTGGAAGCAGATCATTTGGCCCATCGAGTCCATACTGACCTCCCAAAGAACATTTCACTCACCCTCACACCCCCTACCTTATCCCTGTAGTCCCACATTTCCCACGGCTAATCCATCTAACCTGCACATCCCTGGACACTATGGCACAATTTAGCCTGGCCAATTCACCCTAACCTGAATAACTTTGGACTGTGGGAGGAAACCAGAGCAAAAACACAACGCAGACACAGGGAAGAACATGCACAGCCCACACAGACAGCTGCCCGAGGGTAGACTCAAACCCTGGTCCCTGGCGTTGTGAGGAAGCAGTGCTGACCACTGAGCCACCATGCTACCCCATAGTTGATAATGGTGATCATTAGTGGCTGACAGCCGGTTGCTTTGTGGTAGCAGCCCATGTGATGACAAGGCCTGGTGTGTGGGGTTGGAGGAAAGCAGGCGGAAACGTGTTCAAGCACTAAAGTTGTTGAACCCAATATTGAGTCCTGAAGGCGACATGATCCCTGCACGGAAAATGAGGTGCTGTTTGTTCAGCTTGCGCTGAGCTTCACTTGGAGCATTGTAGCAAGCCTGAGACAGAGATGTTGGCCAGGAACACAGTGGTGTGTTGAAGTGGCAGGCAACTGGAAGCTTGGGGTCATATTTTGAGGATAGAACATGGGTTTTCTGCCAAGTGGTAACCCATTCTACGCTCTGTTTCCCCATTGTAGAAGAGACCACATTGTGAGCTATTTCTCTGGAGTTTTTGCTGACCCTTTTGTGTGTCACAGTTTATTTGTGTTGTCTTTCAATCCACGAACAGTGATTAAAGTTCAGAAGTCTAAAGTTTCACGTTTTTATGAATGCTGTGCACATTCAGATGCAAAGTTTTCCCTCACACCTATGTTTATGTGTTCTGCCTCATCATGTTATCATTTCGCCAAGCTCTGATCTACCTTATTGCTTTTTCCGTTCTCTTTTATCTCTCACATCTCCCCTTCTGTAATCCCTCCCCAGTACTATTAATGTCCTACTGTAGCACACTAGGTGTATGACAACACTGGAGCTGGCCTGGTTAGGGCGCAGTCACGGAGTCATAGAGTCAGAGAGATGTACAGCACAGAAACAGACCTTTTGGTCCAACTCGTCTGTGCCGACCAGATATCCTAAATAAATCTAGTCCCATTTGTCAGCATTTGGCCTGTATCCCTCTAAACCCTTCCTATTCCTATACCCATCCAGATGTCTTTTAAATGTTGTAATTGTACCAGCCTCCACCACTTCCTCTGGCAGCTCATTCCATACACACACCACCCTCTGCGTGAAAAAGTTGCCCCTCAGGTCCCTTTTAAATCTTTCCCCTCTCACCAATGGCCTTTGGTCTCCCCTACCACAGGGAAGACCTTGTCTATTCACCCTATCCATGCCCCTCATGTTTTTATAAATCTCTGTAAGGTCACCCCTCAGTCTCCAATGCTCCAGGGAAAAATTGCCCCAGCCTGTGCAGCCTCCCGCTATCGCTCAAACACTCTGATCCTGGCAACATCCTGGTAAATCTTTTCTAAACCCTCTCCAGTTTCACGACATCCTTCCTATAGCAGGGAAACCAGAATTGAACACAGTATTCCAAAAGTGGCTTCACCAATGTCCTGTACAGCCACAATATGACCCTCCCAACTCCTAACACTCAATGCACTGCCCAATAACGGCAAGCGTACCAAATGCCTTCTTCACTGCCCTATCTACCTGCAACCCTACTTTCAAGAAGCTATTGAACCTGCACTCCAAGGTCCCTTTGTTCAGCAACACTCCCCAGGACCTTACCATTAAGTGTATAAATCCTGCCCTGATTTGCCTTTCCAAAATGCAACGCTTCACATTTATCTAAGTTTATCTGCCACTCCTCAGCCCATTGGCCCATCTGATTAAGATCCTGTGGTACTCTGAGGTAACCTTCTTCGCTGTCCACTATACCTCTAAATTTGGTGTCATCTGCAAACTTAGTAACAATACCTTCTATGTTCATATCCAAATCATTTGTATAAATGACCAAAAGCAGTGGACCCAGCACCAATCCTTGTGGCACACTGCTGGTCACAGACCATGAGGAACTTTGTCGAACATTTTAATGAAGTCCATACAGATCATATCCACCACTCTGCCCCATCATTCCTCTTTGTCACTTCTTCAAAAAACACAATCAAGTTAGTGAGGCACGATTTCCCACGCACAAAGCCATGTGTATCCCTAACCAGTCTTTGCCTTTCCAAATACATGTAAATCCTGTCCTTCAGGATTCCCTCCAACAACTTGCCCACCACTGATGTCAGGCTCACTGGTCTACAGTTCCCTGGCTTTTCCTTACCACCTTTCTTAAATAGTGGCACCACATTAGCCAACCTCCAGTCTTCCAGCACCTCACCTGTGGCTATCGATGATACAAGTGTCTCAGCAAGGGGCCCAGCAATCACTTCCCTAGCTTCCCACAGAGTTCTGGGGTACACCTGATCAGGTCCCGGGGATTTATCCAGCTTTCAGACATCCAGCACCTCCTCCTCTGTAATATGGGCATTTTTCAAGATGCTGCTATTTTCTTCCCCATGTTCTCTAGCTTGCATATCCTTTTCCACAGTAAACACAGATGTAAAATACTTGTTGAGTATCTCGCCCCATTTCCTGTGGTTCCACATGTAGGCGGCCTGGCTGATCTTTAAGGGGCCCTCTGCTCTCCCTAGTTACCCCTTCTGTCCTTTTTGTCGAATCTTTTTGGATTGTCCTTAACCAAAGCCATTCCATGCCTCCTTTTTGAGACCATCACAATGCTACAGCTCGGTTTTTCCCAAATACTGGCACCAATTCCCCGTGAATCAAAACCAAATTCACCAAACACCAGCAACTTCACTTTCGCATTGTATTTTCTCTCCCGATTCATCTGGAGGCATGGCCCAGGGTTTGTTACCTTGTAGTCTCTGTTTTTATGAAAACATTGAATCATACAGCACAGAAACAGATCCTTTGTTCCAACCAGTCCGTACCAAACATAAACCTGAATTAAACTAGCCCCACCCGCCTGCTCCTGGCCCAGATCCCTCCAAACCTTTCCTATTCATGTACTTATCCAAATGCCTTTTAAACGTTGTAACTGTGCCCACACCCACCACTTCCTCGGGAAGTTCACTCCACAAACTAACCACTCTCTGGGTTTAAAAAACTGCGCCTGATTTCTTTTTTAAATCTCTCTCCTCTCATATTAAAAATGTGCCCCCTAGTCTTAAAAGACCCCACCCTAGGGAAAAGGCAACTACCATTCATCTTATCTCTGCCCCTCCTAATTTTATAAATCTCTATAAAGTCACCCCTCAACCTCTTACGCTCCAGTGAAAAAAGTCCCAGTCTATCCAGCCTCTCCTTATAACTCAAACCCTCCATACCCAGCAACATCCTGGTAAATCTTTTCTGAACGCTCTCCAGTTTAATAATATCCTTCCTATAACAGGGTGACCAGAACTGCACACGGTGCTCCAGAAGAGGCCTCACCAATGTCTTGTACAACCTCAACATCACGTCCCAACTCCTATACTCAAAGGTCTGAGCAATGAAGGCAAGCATGCTAAATGCCTTCTTAACCATCCTGTCAATGTGTGATGCCAACTTCAAAGAATTAGGTACCTGAACCCCCTAGGTCCCTCTCTGTTCTACAATGCTGCACAGGGTCCTACCGTTAACTGTGTAAGTCAATAGTTTTAGGACTTCTTCTGTTAATTCTGCATTTTTCCTTTCTGTCTTCCCCCCACTTTCTTTTCTGAATTCAGCTGCCTTTTTCCATTGGATGTGGCTGACATCCAATGAACCTATAAATAGTAAATCTCCATCAGATGACATGGGTTTCACAGCTGACTGCCTACCCAGCCCTATGCACATTTCTGAAGGGTCTAGGCCCCAAACGTCAGCTTTCCTGCTTGGCCTGCTGTGTTCATCCAGCTCTACACCTTGTTATTTCAGGTTCTCCAGCATCTGCAGTTCCTACCATTGTCTCATGTGCAGAACGGAGGTGTGGGATTGTCAAACAGGTTTGGTTGTGAAATGTGAGTGCCTATGTGGGATGGTGGACAAGGTGAAATGGAGGTGAAGGGGAATCTTATTAGACACATTGGATTCTTAAAAGGCTTGACAGGGTGAAGGCTGAGAGGACGTTTCTCCTCATGGGGGAGTGTAGGACCAGAGGGAACAGTCTCAGAATAAAGGGGTGCCAATCTAAAGACTGAAATGAGGAGGAATCTCGTCTCTGAAGTTTGGAATTCAGTGACACAGAGATCTGTGGAGACACAGTCTTTGTGTATGTTGAAAGCTGGGATAGAGAGATTGTTGATCAGTCGGGGAAGTAAGAGATACAGGATAGGATAGTAAGAACTGCCGATGCTGGAGTCTTGAGGGACACAGCAGGCCTCTGAAGAAGGGTCCCGACCCAAAACGTTAACTTTCGTGCTCCTGTGCTGCTGCCTGGCCTGCTGTGCCCTTCCAGCGCCTCACTGTGTTAATATCAAACAGGGGAGTGCGCTCCAAGCCTCTGTCGTTGAGCAGGTAGGAGGGTTGGATTCATTTACCCGAGTCATCTGGGAGGGGTGGAATCAGCCGCTCCCCAGCACTTTCTGTGCATCCTGTTTGACACAAACCAGCTTGAACGGTATGGTATTTGTGTGTTGGAAAGGAGCGTTACATTTACACGCTCATCATTGCTCAAACGGTGTGCTGTTTTTTGTCGGGAGAATCTGGGTTCACACACCTTTACGCTTGTAATTTAACTGCATTCCACCCCTTTCTACTGTCTCTGATTCAATTAAAAATCCAGCCTGTTTAATTCGCTCCGAAGAAAGAGCTTCATGTTACTCGGTAATTTGTAAATTGAGCGCTGCAGGGCAACACCCGGAGCTTGGACTCGGGGAGCCACCTATTCTCAGCTTTCTATTTTTTTGTTTTTTTTTTATTGTTTGGTAAAATCTCAGAGGGGCGTGCAGCAGCTTCATTGAAGTCAGCGGATTTCCCCAGGAGAGGGAAGGCAAGGACAGAAGGTGAGCTCTAAACATCGGCCAAGACTACATTTGCTCGGGAACAAAAACGGAGATCGCTTTAAAAGCTCAGCAGGTCTGCGAAGAGAAAATCAAGAGTTAACGTTTCGGGTCCGGTAACCTTTCCTCAGAACTGATGGTAGCCTTCCTGCTCCTATGATGCTGCTTGGCCTCCTGTGTTCATCCAGCCCTGCACCTTGTTGTAGCTGGGAAAACGTTTTCTTTTTGCTCGTGGCCTAGAGAGAGGGAGAATGGAGCAGGGATATTAACTCTGAGGAATTAAATTTGGATATTGCGGTTACATTGCCTACGCCAGGCTTATTGAAATCTACTTTCTGCATTTTACAGCGAAAACAGGAGGCCGTTCAGTCTGTACTGGCACGTTTTGATCAGTCCCACTCGCTCTGCCCTTGACCCATTCCCCCTGCAAACGTTCCGAGGTTATTTTCGGCACGGTTTCCACCATTGGGATTTGTTCCCACCCTTGGAGGCACCGTAAGGGAATGTTCTGGAGGTGAGGATGTACCATGGCAGTGAGGAAAATGGAAGAAAAGGTTTGGGCCAATGCCTGTTGGGTCCCAGTCTTGACCGAGGTTGGGCTAGGCAGAGGGAAGTGACCAGTTTTTGAGGGCAGCCAAATTTGAGGAAGATACTCTTTTCTAGGATGTGGGCATCGCCCATGAAGCCAGTATTTGTTACCCGTCCTTAATTGCCTCTTGTGGCTTGTAACGGCCATTTCAGATGGCAATCCTGTTAGATTGCAGTTCGAGGCAGCAATAATTAATAATGGCCCTGGAAATTCGATCTATCAGTACGTGCGCAGGAAAGTCTAGATCGACAATGATTCTGGTAACCATGTGAGTGTGGGTCTGGAGTCACGTGTAGACGAGGCTGGTTATGGAAGACTGACTTCCTTCCCAAAAGGGCATCCGTGAACCAGATGGTTTCTTTTTATGACAGTCTCTGAGACTAGCTTGATATTCCAGGCTGAATTTATTTCAACCTCCATTCCATAGCACTAGCCTGGATTCTCTTGGTTACCAGCCCAGTGACAATATCAGGACATTCACTAAACCACCCCATCCCTCATTTACTTATCCTTCTTATCTCAGTCTTAAATTGGCACCCTTTATTTCTGAGACGTGCCCTCTGGTCCCAAACTCTCCCATGAATGGAAATGGGTGGTTCAGTGGTTAGCAATGCTGCCTCACGGTGCCAGGGATCCAGGTTTAATTCCACCCTCAGGAGACTGTGTGGAGTTTGCACATTCTCCCTGTGTCTGTGGGTTTCCTCCGGGTGCTCCAGTTTCCTCCCACAGTCCAAAGATGTGCACACTAGGTGGATTGGCCATGCTAAGTTGCCTGTAGCGTTCAGGGATGTGTAGATTAGGTGGGTTATTGGGGGCTGGGTCTGGGTGGGATGCTCCGAGGGTCAGTGTGGACTTGTTAAGCCAAAGGGCCTGTTTCCACACTGTAGGGATTCTATGGAAAAATCCCCTCAGCTTTTCTTTGCCAAACCCCTTTTTATTCCAATATAAGAGACAACAAGGTGCAGAGCTGGATGAACACAGCAGGCCAAGCAGCATCATAGGAGCAGAAAGGCTGATGTTTCGGGCCTAGACCCTTCATCAGAAATG